AAACAAATTAAAAAATGGGCACTTTTCTTGTTTTTTTGCAATAACTTTTTTGTTTATTAACCGATTTTAATTTAACAAGTCTCATTTTGTAGATAATTGTATTCCCTACAAGCTGAGTGTCTGTCACTTTTCGCTAAAATTGATGGTTTTCCCTGCAAAGTGAAAAAACTGTTTTCCTCACTTATTTGTTTAAATAGAAAAGTTAGCTAGATTATTAGCGGATAGGACTTTTCTCGAGTTTCTCTTTTTTTTTCGCTAATTTTCCTGGTCTATAAAGAGAATAGTTTGCAGGCTTCCGAGAAATTTGTCAATGATTGAACGATTTCCATGTTGGTTGCCACGTCATCGGTCTAGACTTCTGAACATTTCGAGAAACAATTGTCTTCTTCTTCTGAAGAAGACGATACGTCCTGAAAATCTTAACAGAAGACTATAACCGTATAACTACTACGGTTATCAATAAAACCAATCTAGCAAGGTACAAAGGGGCAATAAGAACAGTTGCAATATAAATGAGGCTTTTATTAACAAAAAAAATAACAGTAAACCCATTAGCTGGACGTCACAAACATAGGCTATCTCCACTAACTATCATCTAATGATCCTAGTGCAGCAAGGGCGAAAATTGTCTATTGAACTGGCATTTGTTATGGTAGTAAAAGAAGTTGCCGCTGTGTCTGGTTTTCTCCACAAGCTCCAAGTCTCTCTGGCGGATCCTTTTGAATGACTTGTGGTAGGCCATCTTGTCTTTGCAATGTCTTATGAGTCTTTCAGCCCAGGTCTCTGCGTGGGGGATCTCCCTAGGGATGCCCCTGCTCTTTTTGTCCATGTAGTCTATGACGTCGTCGTAGTAGATCTTCCTGTAGAGCGAGATGTATTTGTAAGGCAGGAACTTCGGCCTGGAAGAAAATATAATATGTTAAAGGTAAGTAAAGAGATCTACAGCGTGAAAAACACTTTGAAGGAAATTCTTTAACTGCACAGGTTCAGTTAGCAGTAAACGATAAATATTAGTTGATTAGTTGATTCAATGTCAGTACCTATCACATATCCAAGGTTACAATAGTTTTTAAGTAAATAAAAATTGTAAGACGAACGCACGAGTTAAAGGGTACTATTTGAGCCATACAAGGAAGTAGATGAGTCATCAGCTTTCCTCAGTTCGCGCTATCAGTTTTTTTTAAACCAAAATTCTAACTGAAGCTGAAGACTTGACCTAGATATCAATTAATCTGTCATATTCCTTTCGTTAGCCATATTCAAAGATCCTAATCATTGTCTGGATCTTAATCTACGTGATGCAATATGAACATGTTTAAAAATATCTGTTTTGTTCGTAAACAGATTAGTAATGGTTGTAATTCGAGACTTTTTTCTTTATATAAACATTAACTATATTGAATACATTTAAGTACAATCATTTTATCTCCGTATCCTTTAATATATAACTTTCAATTTGATATTACGAAATGGATTTTAAGACGAGCAAATGAGATAACACAAAATGTTTGAAAATCTCTACATAATACATCTATAGTTTCGCGTAATTTGAATATGGTAAGTAGTACATTCGAGGGGACGGAAGACAAATTTCATGATAGAACTTACTCATTCCAAGAGTCTAATAATAATTCCACAAAGAATGTTTTTTAAAAGTAGCTACTACCAAAATCTAACCTGGGAAAATAATGGTTTGGTGATAATCCCTTTTCAAAATAAGGTGTAAGCGGATGAAATTGTCTCAGAGATCTCGAACTTCCATCGTTCTTTGATGTCTCAGTACCTATAAAGCGTATTTTTGAAGATGCAGATGAAGTTAGCAGAAAAATTAGATTGAATCTTTATTTTTGCAACACAGTAGCATTAAAGTTACGATCTTTACAACTAACTACGAATTCTAGGAAAACCTGTAGACATTACTGAACAAACAGGATCTTTTCCTGAAAGGCTGAACGAACCCCATATTGAAAAAACTACGTGGCTGGATTATCGCTTCAGTAATGGAATATGTCCGGACTTATTTCACGCTAAAACAATTTTACTGCTTCCCGCTAAGTTATCTGGTGTACGACTGTACGCCAATGTGGGTCGACACCGTAATTGCTATTTAATTTCATACGTGGATCGTTAATTAAGATAAATAGCCAGCTCATATTTTATTTTACTCCAACTGATTTACATTAATTTCTTGGCAGTCCAAACAACAGTACATGATTGAAAAATGGTTACAGATACTAATTATTTTTGTGACTGGACGCCAGCGAATTTCCATTCCAATCTTACACCGTACGGTGCACGTTAAATTTGGAAATATATTAATTATTTTTTCACAAAACTGGTTGCTGCCAAAAAGCTGTGTCTTTTCGCATCTGGTGCCCATTGTTAAATTGCTTACATTGTAAGTGGCTATATCTAAACACCACTTCGTGTTTTTACTTTTTCCTGTAATCCATTTTTGAAAGTTTGACGTAAAGAAAATGGAAATAATTTCAAATCGCGAGCAGACCAAAATTAGTTGCAGGTGTTTTTAACTTTTAACAGCTGTCAAATATCTATTATAACGTATAGTTTTGTGAATAACTACAGAATATTTTTATTTAACTCGGAAGCAATGAGATCATAAGAAATTCTACAGCAAGTGAAGTAGGATTTAGGGGAGAAAAGCTTTAGATTAGGAAGCAAAGGTTTTTAGAAAGCTAAATAGTTAATTTGTACTATTTAGTTCACCAACTTGGTTGGTAATTCGAAAAAAAGTTTAAAAATGTACTTACCTTTTTCGGAAAAAAATCACTTCTAAATCCTACTTCAGAACTGTGAAAAAGTCACACGGTTATGTTTCCGGATAAAAAATTTAGTAAATAGCGTTTACAATAAAAAATAAATAAAAACAAAATGATTTTATTTAAAAATAATAAAGGTACTAAGAAAAACACTGACATTTTTTCATTTTCCTTGAAGCAGGGCATTCGAAATTGCTCAGAATACGACGTGCCACCTCATTTTCTAAAATTATATCACGAAATAGTACTAAAAAACAGCGTAAAGTATGTTTGTGTGAGTAATACCAACACACCCACCAAATATTATTAATCCTATGAACCAGGTTCTGATTTGCCAAGAATTTATACCTTAGAAAAAGTGGTGCTCTACATTTCTTTGAATTGATTTAAACTAGACTAATTTTGGAAAGAGAAGTATGGTCATTGAAGAACATTTAGAGCAAAAACTTATAACGATAGACATTGTATATATTAAAAAAGTATCATCAGCTTCATTGAAATTTGAAAATCGATCTGTCATAACATGGGCTTTGAAAACACCTTGTATATAAACATGTATTCACTGAGTGTCACGTCTTTTAGATATAATTGGAACTGGTATTAAAACCTATGCTAAAATACGTGATTTATCAATGATTGATCATTCACGATAAAGTGTTTTCTGAGCCCAAAATAATCTTATTAAAAAGGAGGATATAGATAACTGTATTAAAAATAAAACGTTCAGTTTTTAACTAAACAGAAAAACGAAGTGATTTTAAAATATCTGTAAACAAAAACAGTTCGTCAGATTTCCATAACGGAAGCGTTAGCTACAATCTACTTGGAAATTGACAATAATAATTGTAGTTGGTTGTTATTATGTAGATTCGTACAGAAATAATTTACACATCCCAAATAGAATGTTGTTTTGGAAGTAGCTTCGAAATAACATAAGTGTTACCTATTAACTGCTGTAAGACATGAAAAAATCCTCGATATATTTTTAGGAAATCGCCTAGTTAAAATGACATAATTAAAAATAATACAAATCCAGTCTGCTCGGCGACATTCAGGTGTGAATGGCGTCATGTGTTTCCTTGACAAGAAGGTGAGCCAAAATGTTAGTTTCTACATCAAATATTCAAAAGTAGGAAAAAATGAACGGCGGTTTTCAAAAAGACAATGATTGATGATCGTCTTCTCTCGAATTGACTTGGAGAAAAACCGCTATCAGGATTATATATATATATATATATATATCAAT